ATAGAAATAAAACAGACTGAAGATTGAAGAATCTTATTAAATGCAAAATTTATTAAGAAAGAAAAATAATGCGCTAGAAGAAATATAGTCAAAACGTACATGTTTATGATCATTCTTTTCATTGAGAATAAATAATTATTTTGATAGTGTTAAGATTTTTTTTGCTTATTAATTGGCCATTATTTTTCCTTCCTACAGTAAGTATAAAATATAATATAACGAACACACATATCAAGAATTATTGCATCTACTGCACTGAGAAAAAGATAATTAAAAATTTATTTGTGAGAAATATATTTCACTGAAATAAGTCTTTATTTAAATACGACGAATAAAATTGTATTTCTAGTAAGTAAATCATCTATTTTACTTCTTACAATTAATAAGGATATATTTTACAGAAATATATACTTCATTATTACAATCACATTTTTTTATAACTAATAAGTATCGAAGAAAACATCAGTAAGTAGGATTTGCTTCGCAATACTTTGATATTTTTTTTCTCAGTTGCATTTAAAGTTAACAAATTGTAGGTACACGGCGCCTTATCTAATAACATACCGTATTTTTGTACAAAAATAATCTGCCACACTAGTGACTACTAGTCTACAAAAGTCCTTGTCGCGTGGCAGTCCTTCGATGCATTGCGATCCTTCAAGTTACAAGATTTCGAGTGGGACGTTTCCGAATGTCTTGGAAGCAGAAAGAAAATCCGTAAAGTTCCAAGCTCGTCTGTTTCCATCGCTCCGCACGAAAGCTTTCATCGCAACTTTTGCAACGTCCTCTTTCTCACCCAGAGAGAATACCAGCGCGATCAGGATTTCTTGTTCAATTTGTGAACCACTGACTACCAGAATGCAATTTCGCTCACTGGAAGAAAGCACGCACGATACAAACTCGGTTCGTAGATCATTCGGTAAAAATGACGTAACGACGTCGTCCAAATATCCAGGAGATATTTGAAGAACTGAATGAACGAAAGTAGGACAAGCGTAAAAGAATTATTTGAAAACGTGCCAAGCTCGCATGACACTCGCAGAGCTTCGATGAAATTTTCGACAGAAAAGAACTAACTATACGAGCAAAGCAGTTTTTTATTTGTTAAATAATTTTTTTATTAACTATGATATATTATTGGCTGTCAAAAAAAATTATTTATACAACTTTAAAAAATATTAATATACATGACGATATCAACATCACGTGACGATAAGATAAAATTAAAATTAAATTAAAATTAAATTAAAATTAAATGTTGAAAAAGTTAATGTTAAAGAAGTTTGTAAATAATTAAACATATAAAATGTACTTTTTTTTAGCTAAAATTAAGTTTTATTTAATCCTTAAATGTCACACTATGGAAACAACACTTAACACAGAAAAAAAATGTTGCTAGTTATAGCTAATTCTGATTAGCTGAAATTGCATTAGCTACTATAGCTTAGAAAATTGTTAATTTGTTAATTAGAAATTTGCTAATACATACAAAGGATTTGCTATTGTAGCTAATATAAGGACATGATAGCAAAATATGCATTATCTGTTACAGATCAATTTATTTAGCAGCATGTGAAGTGTCATAGTTATGTCAGTGGATATGTCAGTGTAAAAAAAAATTATCTCTACCACAGCTAAATATGGTTTGCTGAAACTGTACTTGCTATATCAAATTGTCTGCTACACAGAAAACGTTTGCAATCAATAGATCGACATAATAATAAAATGTTTGTTACAATGATAATTAGACCTCACAGCTAATGGAAATTAAACCTCGTAAATACGACGTTAAGTATCCATATATTACGACTGGAATTTAGTTACCACACGCAAATTTTTGCTGCAACTAATCTTTTTCTTCCGTGAAATATGGCAACTCAATTCGAGGATGAGTACCTCTCTACTGTCTGGTTGGGAGTAGCCCAATTTCTGCCTCCTTGCTGTTTAGCCAAGTGCTGTTTAGCCTAATCTCCATAGATCAACTCAGTTATTCAAAGCGCAAGTCAATTATAAAAAATAAAATTACAAGACGCACATTTTCAAAAAAAGTATAAAATAAAACAATATAAAATATATAATTGTGTGTTATCCAGATGGGGATTAATGCTTTATCAATCACTTGAAATAAACAGCGAAGAAATAGAAATTGGGCTACTCCTAATCAGATAGGAAGGTATCCTCGGTCTCACATAGAGCATAATTCCAACTTTATTCAACGTTTTCCTGTCTACATTTATTATAATGTTATACGAATTGGCTGAAGATGATTTGAAGTAAATCGAAACGTCCTAAGAAGTCTGTATTGGAAGTCTGCATTATTTTTAATATATTATATGAATTTCTTAAGATTGTTATATAAATTGCGCACCAATTCCCGCTCTCATTGCCCGTACATTATTTGATAAATAAATATTTAATAAATAAATATTTGACAATAAATTTTTCATGTATCGATAGAGTAAGGTCGTAAGGTTTTTTACTAATAGAAAAATACGGGATATGTTGAATTGTTTAATTACAGAAGTTAAATTTGATGATCATAAAATCATAAGGCGTGGAAATCGTAATATGAGATACCCAGGATATTTCTAATATGAAATAACTCATACTCCTATGTTATAGTGAAAATCGTTGCTAAAGTATAAATGTTATTGTACAATAATAAAAAAGACAATCGGAATGAACATCGAGTGCCTATTTCTGCGATGCTTGATTCCAACTATCTGAAGACAAGCTCTGGGTACAATCTATCGCATACTCACTTTTCGCGCATACTGGTTGTGTTTGTTTGTATTTTAGAAACATGAAATAAAATTTTTTAATTGCAATACTGATATATTTTGCGTTTTACGTTATCGATTTCTTGGGGCATCTCATATTAAGAGCACAGTTTTTTGACTTTGCGATTTGCCCATTTTTTACATTTCTTCAATTTAAAAACAAATGGAATTTGAATTAAATTATAATATAATATTATCTAAAAGCTTATCAAATTCCCTTCAAAATGACCTATTATTTTTTTAAATTTTTCCTATAGATTTCTAGCATTTACTCAAAATGAATTCGATATCTCATAAGAGCCTTTCCTCTAATAATGCAAATATTCAAAGATTATATAAGAAGAATTAAAAATTATATTTTATTATGCTATTAAAAATTTAAGAATATATTTTTCATAATTTCTGAAACACATGATAATTTTAAGACGTAATTTAAAGAGTTTTTATGTGAAAATAAACACTTTGTAGGTTTATACATATATATATATATATA